GTAGAGATGAGGTCTCGCTGCCCAAGCGGGTCTCGAACCCGCGGGCTCAGGCAATTCTAGTTTCTGCTCTTTTTTGGATCAAGTGACCAGCACAGCAAGCAGCAAGCCCTGTGACCTGAACTAACTGGTCCAAGATAGAATCCCAGATCTACCACTAACTGTGTGACCTTAGGCAAGCTACTTAACCTCTCTGTGCCACAGTGCCTTCATCTGACAAATAGGGATTACCTTTCTCCCAAGGTTGTTGTCAGGATATTAGTATCCTGGCATTTGACAGTTCCTGGCGTGGAGTCAGCCCTGCAGTCAGTGAATGTTTTCTGATTCTGTTCTGGAAAGGAGGGGAAATGGAACTTGGCATGATGGAGCCAAGGAATAGACATCAAACCTTCTGACCACTGTTCCAGCCCGCCCTCTTCCATGGGCTCCGGTCCCTTCTGTGCAGCTGTAATGTCAAAACAAATTTCTGAGACCAGGTGCTGTGGCTTATGTCTGTAATTCCAGCACTTTTGGAGGCTGGGGCAGGAGGATGGCTTGAGGCCAGGAATTCCAAGACCAGTTTGGGCAACATAGCAAGACCTTGTCTCTACAAAAAAAAAAAAAAAATTAGCCCCAGTTAACCGCCCCCAAAAAAGAGTTGGAGCCTTATTCTGTCACCCAGGCTAGAGTGCCTCCCAAGTAGCCGGGATTAGGTGCATGCCACCACACCCAGCTAGTTTTTAAATATTTTTGTAGAGATGTGGTCTCACCAAGTTGCCCAGGCTGGTCTCGAACTCCTGAGCTCAAGCAATCCTCCAGCCTCAGCCTCCCAAAGTGCTGGGATTACAGGCATGAGCCATCGAGCCTGGCGCATCAAGGAAGTTATTTTCCAGTGATGCTCCCTTGTGTGGAGCTCACATGTCTGCATTCAGTCCGTCCATCATCCATCCAGCAGATGCTGATTGGTACCTACTGTTTGCTGGGATAGGTGACTAGCAGGGTGGATCCAGGGAGGACTGAGAACCTGCATATTCCAGGAGTGTTTTGTGGACATGATTGTTTGGGTGTTGGGAGTCTTGGGCATCGTCCTGGTCTGGAGGGGAGGCCCAGAAACCTCCTAGGGAGGGGTCATCTGGCCAAAGTGCTGATGACTGACCCCCGCACCAAGTGACCTCAGGCAGGTCCTCCCTCCACAGGGACCCCGTGGCACCCTGGAACCTTCCCATTCATCCAGGTCAAGCTCTCCCGCTCCGGTGGGGAGGAAACCCACCCTGGTGGAGAGGCCCGGGGCGGGGCCCTCCCCACACTCCTGGCCCCCACCTGTGACCTCTGACCCCCTTCCACACACAGGGGCCTCGCAGAACCCCGGTTCTCTGTGACCGGGGCGGAAGGTGCTTGCAAACGGTCACAGACTCCGGAGCCAGAGGGCTTTTGGAGATTGGCCAGCCCTGCTCAGGGGACCCAGAGAGGACAGCTACTTGCTGAGAGACGCCCAGCAAAGGGGTGCCGAGCCCAGGCCCTTCCTTCCTCCACCCGACCCTCTCTGGGTCTCCAAGGTCTAGAGGGAATGAATGGTCCTCCCTCAGCAGGGAGGGGGAGGCAGTTCCTGAGCCTGGGAACCAGCTGATGTTACTGCAGCGTCGCCATGGCGATGACTCCTGTGGATCAGGGACCTGACCCTTGTGAAACCAGGAGGCAGAGGAGGGAGTGGGAAGCTGGCGTTCGTGGACAGAGCACTTTCCCACGTGCCCACCCCTGCGCCACCTCTGGTATCCACGTCACCGATTGGTTGACTGGTGTCGGGGGCCCCCATTTTACAGGTGTGGAAACGGAGGCTCAGGGGCTTACGTCATTGGCCCATGATCTCTCAGCGAGGGGGAGACTGAGCCTGTGTTAGAATCAGCTCCATCAGGCTTTGGGCTCACATTTGGTGACAGAAAGCCCCCTCCTTGTATTTTCAGATCCAGGGTTTCTGTTCCTGGAGGCACGTGGTCTGTCGCGGAGTACCTTCTCTTCACAGAGGGCCCCCCATTCAGCGTTACCAAGCTGACCTGGGGCTTGCTGGAAGAGCTGGGGTAGGACTGGCTCTAGACCCTTGGGGAGGCTGGTGCCTGTGACCCTTGCATTAGCTTTTGGGTTGATGGGGACAGGCACATCCAGGACTTTTTTTTTTTTGAGCTCTGGTCTCACTCTGCCACCCAGGCTGGAGTGCAGTGGCATAATCATGGCTCACTACATCCTTGACCTCCTGGGCTCAGGTGATCATCCTGCCTCAGCCTCCCAAGTAGCCTGGCTAATTTTTTCATTTTTTTTTTTTTTTGAGTAGGAGTCTTACTCTCTTGCCCAGAATGGAGTGCAGTTGCATGCTCATGGCCACCGCAGCCTTGACCTGCTGGACTCAGGCGATCCTTCTGCCTCAGCCTTCCAAGTAGTTGGAATTGCAGGCATGCGCCACTACGCCTGGCCAATTTTTTGATTTTATTGTAGAGATGAGGTCTCGCCAAGTTGCCCAGGCTGGTCTCGAACCCGTGGGTTTAGGCAGTCTTCTCACCTCGGCCTCCCAAAGTGCTGGGATTATATTATAGTCATGAACCACGGCGCCCGGCCTAATTTTTTGATATTTTGTAGAGATGCGGTCTCAGTATGTTGCCCAGGCTGGTCTTGAACTCCTGGGCTCCAGTAATCCTCCAGCCTTGGCCTCCCAAAGTGCTGGGATTACAGGTGTGAGCCATTGTGCCCAGCCCTTTCTGTTTAGTCTGGATCAGAACGAAGGAGGAAGAGGGACCCCGCGGATGGGTGACTGGGGCTCCAGTAGACAGACAAGGACCCTGACCCCTGGGGGAGAGACAGAGGACCTGGCAGGTGCAGCTGTGGCCGCATATGTGTGTGTTGTCGGTGGGGTCAGGTTGCAGCCCAGCGCTGCGGCCAGATGGTTCCACGCTTGGGATCTGCCTGCTTTGTTATCCTGGAAACTCTCAAGGTCCCGGGCCCATGTCCTGGACTGACCTGTCTCCAGAACAGTGCGGTCCCCATGGAGGAAGTCCAAGCAGCTGGTGGGGTCGGGAGCAGATGGCTGCCGCGGTAGACAGTGGAGCCTCTGGAGCCAAGGGACAGTTCCCTGTAGGAGTGTTTTCCAACCTCACTCTTCTTCAAAACCCCGAGGGGAGGACAAGCGGTTCCTCTTATTTCAATTTCCTTAGTGCCAGGGAAGTCCTTCCTGATGTCTTACTTGAATTCCTCTAGTGGTGTGGTGGGGGAAGTGGGGTTCTCTGGAGGTTAGGACGCTGGACTGAGTCCCTGTCTGACCGTGCCAGTTTCCATCCCCCTGTGGCGGTGGCCTCAGACCCCACCCGTCCGGCTCCAGGGTGCCTCGGAGCCTGTCAAAGATCTGTTGAAGGGGCCTTCCTCACCGCCTTCCTTTCTGGGCACCAACTTTGGCAGAGGCCTCACCCAGCGGATCACCTAAAAGCTCCCCCAGGCTCTCAGCAGGCAGGGCCGCATCCTGGCTCGGATGAAGACTGGGCCCTTCTGGGAGCTCTGGGAAGAGCCTTCTTCCTCTGAGCTTTCAGACAGGATGGGCTGGGCGTGGGGGTCAGGAGTCAGGCTGATGAGGGCTTGCATCCTGGTGGTTGTGAACTCCTAAGCTTCTGGGCAGGAACGTTGCCCCTCTGCTGCTTGCTTCTTGTGAGATGGAGCTATAGTGTATATGTGTGTGGTGGATATACGAGCCGGGTGTAGTAGCTCACGCCCGTAATTTCAAGCACTTGGGGAGGCAGAAGCGGAGGATTGCCTGAGCCCGCGGGTTCGAGACCTGCCCAGGCAACTTGGCAAGACCTCGTCTCTACAATAAATCAAAAAATTAGCCGGGTGTGGTGGCGTGCACCTGTAGTTCCAGCTGCTTGGAAGGCTGAGGTGAAAGGATTGCCCGAACCCAGCAGGTCGAGGCTGTGGTGGCCATGAGCATGCTACTGCACTCCAGCCTGGGTGACAGGGTGAGACTCAAAAAAAAAAAATGTATATGTGTATATATGGTGAGACTTAAGCAAGATAGTTCATTTGTAAGGCCCTTGGCACTGTGCTCGCCGCTCAGAACGTGCTGAAGAAATATAAATGACTTTTTTTTCTTTAATAGAGATGAGGTCTTGCTTTGTTGCCCAGGTTAGTCTCCATCGACCTCCTGGCCTCAGGCAATCCTCCCACCTTGGCCTCCCAGAGTGCTGGGATTCCAGCCCTGAGCCACTGGGCCTGGCCTGTTAACGTCTTCTTGTGATGAGACAAAAGAAGACGCTTATTGGCTAAAGCTTCTGGCTTGTGTCGGGGATCTCTGGTTGTGGCCTCAGAGGCGCCCCCAGGCCTGACTCCTGTTCCTCTTCCCTCCCTCTTGGGCCCTCCAGGTGCGCTACAAGGAGGAATTTGAGAAGAACAAGGGCAAGGGCTTCAGCGTGGTGGCAGACACCCCCGAACTCCAGAGAATCAAGAAGACCCAGGACCAGATCAGTAACGTGAGCTCCCGCCCCGCAGCCCTTCCCCCACCCTCCCTTCGGGCTCCCTCCATGCCCCTGGGCAGACCCTGCTGGTGGCTGCCTGAGCTGAGGGAAGTGTTTGGGCTTCCCAGCTACCTCTGCTCTGTGTACCCCCAGACTCCATCTTGCCAGACTCCGTGCACATAGCACTTCCTCTCCTCAGGGGCTGTACTTTCGTGAGGGTGTGCGAGAGCCTCTCTGCTAAATCAACCCCCCATGCTGTTTTTTCCTTTTTCCGGGTATGGTGGGTATTGGGGTGCACACTGGATGGGTCGCCTTAGCACAAAGGTCAAAACTGGGGGCAAGCCGGGGCTCGGTGGCTCAGCCTGTAAACCCAGCACTTTGGGAGGCTGAGGTGAGTGGATTGCCTGAGCCCGC